TATAATAGGTATAGTTTGGGATACAATACACAATTTTACTACTATGTGAACATTATACATAAATGAACACTAATAAACTATGGTAGATATAGTTTATGATATACAATACTATTTTTCGAATACAGGAGTACGTTACTAAATAATTATTTAAGTATAATGATTTTTACTCAGCAAGTTATACATATGATTTCGAGTAAAAGGGAAAACTACAACACTACCCGTAAACTAGTTAATATAGGGTTGTGAGGCACTACTTCAATTGTACCCTTGGGGTGTGGAATTAAATCCTACCATAGTACAACCAGAGTCTCTTAGAGGGAGAGCGTGAGATTTATGTATAGATCTATACGGGATTGGCAATCCTACACCTGAACTGCTAGCTACAATTAGGCAGGCATGCTTGGAGTGACAAATAGCATACCTTTCCAACACCTAAAGAACGTCGTAAAGGTCACTAGGTCATATCAAGCATGGTTATACCAAACTTACAATAGTATAAACTAACCTTTGTTTATGAGATTTCAATTCTTCAATTAGTTTTATTTTAATTAATAGAACTATAATACACTACAACTGGAGGATTCTAGGGAATAAACACATGGTTTTATTTTAAGTAATAAAACTACTATACATACTGGTGGTAGCTAGGTATTTCATACAAGAGTTTTCATACAAAACAATGGAATACAATATAGCTGGTAGTAACCAGACACATATACTAATACTTTCATATTCAACTATGTAATGCAGTAACGAACGTACATTTTGCTCTTAGGAAATATCGGATTTTCTTGAGAAACATACAAGCATTTTCACAGTTTCAAAGACAAGTTTTCATTACAAAAACATACTTATGAACTTAGCAACTTAAATGTTGATACACTTTCAAAATCACTTGTACTCTCAAGAAACCAGTATACAAGTACACCCGTAGTTTTTGAGAAAATGGAGCTTTTAGAGTCACATATTTTATACTTTTGTTAATATACAAATTATGTATGGAACAGACCTAAATACTTTACTTATTCAATGTAATGGTTTTGTTTACTTTGATTACTATGATGCAATTGTTGTGATATTGTACTTGACCTCCTCCACCCCCGAATGTTTCCACCATTTCGGTTTGGGGGTGTGACACGATCCTGTGTTGCCAACACCCTTTCTCTAATCACTTTTAGCTTTTCAGCAGTCTGATGGACTATTTTGGGGTCCATAAGCTACTTTTCTTCGGCCTCAAGCCAACAAGACAGCGTACGACACTTCTGTTTGTACAAGGCTTGATAAGGTGCCATCTTAATTCTTGAATGGTAAATATTATTGTTGGAAAACTCTACCGGGGGTAAATGCTCATCCAAGTTACCTTGAAATTCTAGGGTATATGCTCTTAACATATCTTCTAATGTTTGAATTTTCCTTTTCCTCTGAACATGAGTCTGCACATTGTAGAATGTACTTAAACACAACTTCTTACCCATTTTATGTTGTAGACTCTTCTAAAATATTTATGTGAAACGTCTGTCACAATCTGATACAGTTGGTAAGGGAACACCGTGAAGTATGTAACACTCCAATCCAGGTATTCCATTGGCTACCCTCAAAGTATTTCATTTTAGAAAAAAAGGTCTATCCGTATGTTGGCTGTACATTTAGGTACACTTAGCATATTTGTGTGCGTGCATCAAGTGTTCGAGGCTCGTATGTTAGGCGTAAAAGCATGTACGTGAGGTGTACGTGGCTGATGACTAAAACCCTAACTTCTTGACTTGCACCTTATTTAGATAACCTTATATGAGTTGCACCAAACCCTAATCACCCTCCATAGCCTCATTTTATCCTTACACCCTATTTTTTCAAGAACTTGTGAGATTTGAGCTTAAAGGTGGTTTGGTGACTTCTCTATAGGGTATTCAAGAAAAAGAAGGTGATGTTCTAGTCTTGATCAAGGAATGAGCCTTTAGATCCTGCATCTAGAGCATCTTGGAGAGATTTTGAAGTTTAAACGCTTGCGTCTTGTCTATCCTCCTTGCTTGTTGAGTTAGGGTTTGCTAGTGTCCACTTTGAGTCCATAAATCATATGTTGGGTGTTTAGGAAACTCCATAGGATAGGAAGGTTAGATTTGAGACTCTGTTTATAATATAAAAATGCAAACTTGATGTTTTCTTTGGCTCCATGCATGCTTTAAAACCTTTGGAAAGGTCTTAATAAAGTAGATAGAGTTGTTGGGATCTTATATAGCATGTAAAGGCATAAAGTTGCCAAATTTATGCCTTAGGACCATTATATCGACCAAGATCTAAAATTTGATTGAAGATCCTACTTGCATTAAGCACTTAATGGATTTTGTGCATGAATGGTTTCTACTTTAGGTTTACTATGTTGTATGATGAACGTACAATCCCTTGGCTTAGTACACTAAGCGTACACAAGAGGTATGTTAGGATACTCTCACAGGAAGTTTTGGGCCTTCGATGGATTTCGAACCTTTGGTCCCTAAGTGTTTGGGCCTAGACTTGCTGGTATTTTGGGCGTAAATTTATCATTTCGGTCAAGGTTGGTGTGTTGGGCCTTTTGGGACTTGTGGCATGACATAGAATTGGATTTTTATGCTAGGCCTATTAGTGAAGGAAAGGCCTTTGGGCCATTATGAAGGGACTTGGACTTAGGATTTTGGACCCATCTCTAGGTTATGCCATAATACTAAGTAGGGTTATTTGTGTATTGTTCAGTGTGAGATTTTGGGCTAGTAGTCAAACAGCTTTTGTGTTCAGCAGGCTGAGGTGAGTCTTCTCACTATACCAATGGGTTGAAGGCACTAACGCTGACCCATTACTTGATATGAGATTTCTATCCTCTCTAATAAATGAAGGTTTTTTTTTTTTTTCAATTTTCAAATTCTAAAGAGTTCTGCCACATATAATTTTGTGGAGTTTTAGAATTATTATTTTACACTTGTCATTTTTTGGGAATTTCTATTTTTAAAATAAAATTCCATGAAATTCTAACAAGTTTTATAAGGAAATAGAGTCATTCTATAAATTTGATAATAAAGTATCATAAATGCTCTAAAGAATATTTGATCTCTTTTATAAATGTTCCGAAAGATTACCTTATGTTATGTAAAAGTGTGATTTTATAAAATATTTAATGTTTAAATATTGATATTAAATTTTTATTTTTAATAAACCCGTGTAGTACACGGGTCTCACACCTAGTAGTTAAATATGTAATGGTTTTATTATTAGGTATGTATTGATTTATGTGAAGACATTGGGGAAGCCCATTACACTTGGTAAGACCATGAGGGGGAGGCCATGGCCTTTAGATATAAGACCCTGGGTAGCCCATGGCATCCCAGTTAAAGACCATGGAAGGAGTCAATGCAGATTTATGTGTATATGTGCATGGCATTACGTGGTTATGTGTTTTGTGTATTTTGGGAAACTCACTAAGCATGTGCTTAAAGTTTTTTTTGGGTGTTTTAGGTACTTTTTGGTTTTAAGGTCTCACCAACACACACAAGAGGAACCAAATCTCTTCAAAAGGGCCTAGGTTTCAAAAAATGACTGAATGGGATTTAGAGGCTGAGAAATAAGAGGTTCGAGGATGATAATATCAATTAAATAGGTTCTAAACCCCTATGTTTATCGTTTGTCCCTTGCATGCATACACCCCACCTATGAGGAGTATGCCCCGTGTACAAAAAGTTTGATGAGAATGGAAAATTTTCCGCTAGGGATCACATCTGCAAAGCATTAACACATCAAGGGTCTAACAATGAAAAGTACCTTGCATCGGGTGTTATAGAAAGGGACTCATCCCTATTTTGCATGAATCAAGGTCTAGGGTTGTCAGGTTTTCATTTTTTCAAGAAGCGCTAGACAAACTTGAACCCAGATCTAAAAGGTTCTAGTTCATTGGTTATCACAAAGAATCTTTTAGATACTCGTTTTACATGCCGAATGAGAACAAGATCTTTATTGATCGTAGGGAAGACATTCGTAAGAGAGAGACTACATATCCAAAAACTAGTAGGAGCTAAATTAATCTTGATAAGATTCGAGAAATAACCAGTCAATAACCTGA